TGCATTTCTATGGCCCATTTGATCATTCGTCCGGAGGACTCCATGGTGGTAAGGGGCCGCTTGATCGGTTGGTCGGTATACACGACGACTGCATGTGCCAGAAAGTAGGGCTTCAATTTTTTAACAGCCATGAAGAGTGCAAGACCAAATTTCTCCACTAGGGGATACCTCAACTCGGCATTTTTCAGTACGTGACTGACAAAGTAGACCGGGAGTTGACAGCCGTCCCTTTCAGCAAGGAGCACCGCGCTTAACGCATGATCAGAGACGGCCAGGTACATGTAGAGATTTTCTTTGGGCAAAGGGCTAACCAGCCTCGGCAAGGAATGCAAGTGAACCTTTAATTTCTGGAAGGCGGCCTCAGCATCCGGCCCCCATTCAAACCTTGCCTTCTTCTTAATTGCCTGGAAAAAGTATAGGCATTTGTCGCCTGATCGGCTTAGGAATCTTCCCAAGGCCGCCAGACAACCTGTTAACTTCTGAACCTCTCGAACGGTACGAGGCGACTGCATGTCAATGACCGCCTGTACCTTCTCGGGGTTCGCCTCTATTCCTCTCTGGTTGATAAGGAATCCGAGAAATTTCCCAGACTCAACTCCAAATACACATTTCTTGGGATTGAGCATGACATGGTGCCGCCTGAGTGTGGCGAAAGTCTCTCGGAGGTCCGTCAGATGATCTTTCTGAAGTTTAGTCTTGACAATCATATCATCAATGTATGCCTCGACGTTTCTCCCAATCTGATCAAAGAACACTGTGTTTATCATTCGTTGGAAGGTAGCCGGAGCATTCTTAAGACCAAACGGCATGACCGTGTAACAGTATAATCCCTGATCAGTGACGAAGGCCGTCTTCTCCTGATCTTTCTTCCACAAAGGAATTTGATGAAAACCAGAATAGGCGTCCATAAAACTCATCAAGGCATGGCCGGCTGTTGAGTCGACCAGGTTATCAATTTTAGGCAGAGGGTAACTGTCTTTGGGGCACGCCTTGTTCAAGTCTGTGTAGTCTACACACATTCGCCAGGTGCCATTCGGCTTTTTAACAAGTACCACATTTGCAACCCAATCTGGGAAGTAACATTGCCGAATGAACCCTGCATCAAGTAATTTTTTGACTTCGGCGGCTGCCGCCTGACCTCTCTCTTCACCATGGTTCCGCTTCTTTTGCCGTACCGGCTTCTTTTTCGGATCCACAGCGAGTTTGTGTACTGCCAGATCAGGACTAATGCCTGGCATTTCATGGACTTCAAATGCAAAGATGTCCTTGTATTCTTTCAACAAGTTGTGAAAGTCGGCACCAAGGTTTCTTAGAGCAGCCGTCCCTACTTTGACTGTTCGGTCAGGATGGGAGTCGTCTAATATCAGGTCCGCATGCTCACCAGCCGGCTGAGGGCGGAACTCATCCGGCCGGTCCTCTGCCAATGATTGCTATTTTCTTGCTTTTCTTGCGGACTCAGTCTGGAGTGCCTTTCTCTTTTTGTCGCCTGTTTCTTGAACAGGCGCACTTTCCTTGACATTGTCAAGGTCTGTTTTTTCTCCACTTGACCCAGTGGCCATAACAGTGGGCTTGACATCCGAGAGATAGCACTCTCGGGCCATCCTCTGATCTCCCCTAAGGGAGCCGACTGTTCCATTGTCCCTTTCAAACTTAAGCAGCATAAGTGACGGGATTATAACAGCCTTGGAATTATTCAGGGTTGGTCGACCCAGAATCATGTTGTAGGCAGAGAGTTCCTCTACCACTAGGAACCGGACTACCATGTGTCGTCCTTCCCCTTTTTCGCCCAGGCGGATGGGTAGATCTACTCGTCCCAGTGGGTGGACGACTCCTCCCCCAAACCCTATTAAAGGGTGGGAGGCCGGATGTATGCAGTCCGTCTGATATTTCAGTTTTGATAGACATTTGCTGCTGATGAGATCTGAAGAGCTCCCGGTATCTATGAGGATTCGACCAACTCTCTGGTTGGCCACTTTACATTCAATAACGAGAGGGTCGTCATGCGGCCCCCTTATTCCTCCTAGATCCTCTTCAGTGATGACAATCTCAGGAAATGTATATTTGGACGGTCGTTCTTGGTGAACGGAATTTACATCTAACCGCCTTATATTATCTTTGTTGCCCCTAATAGAGGGGCCGCCTCCTGAGAAGCCGCCTGCAATGGTGTAGACGACTGCATCATCTGTATCAGAACTGTCGGCCTGCTGATTCTTTTTGGCCGACTGCTTTTTTGAGGAAGTGTTTCCCGCAGATTTCTTGACATAAGTGTCAAGATCACCTTGATCAGCCAATCGGTCTAGGTACCGCATGAGACTGATGCAGTCATTGGTGTGATGACCAATGTCATCATGATAAGCACAGATTTTGTCTTGGTTCCGGTTGCTCGCAGAACCCTTCATGGGGAGCGGCTTCTCAATTGAGAGCCGTCCCTTTATTTCTTTTAGGATAAACTGGTTATCCTTGTTAAACACATATTTTGGGGAGTATGGTTTGAATTCTTTTTTCTTTTTCTGGGCCGGCTGTTTAGAGGAATCAGCCGCCCAGACCCCTTTTCTTTTTTCATCCTTGTTGGACGACTGTTTCTGTCGTCCCTCTCTATTGTCGAACCTCTTCCCGTCCGACTGTTTCATCGTACACAGATCAGTCGCCTGTATATAGGCTTCTGCTTCAATCAAGGCCTCTTGAAGAGTCGCCACCCTTTTTCGAACTAAATCAAATTTGAAGGTAGACCCGTCTTTGAGACCTCTAAAAAAGTCAGTATAAGCTACCTCATCCGGTAACCCTTGAATCTGTATTCTCATCAGGTTGAACCGCCTGATGTAGGAACGAAGCCCCTCCTTTTCACCCTGCTGAATTGTTCCCAAATCAAGGGTCGTTTTCTTCGCAGGGATGTTCATTGCGAAGTTGGAGGCAAATAAGTAAGCAAGCGTCCTGAAGCTGTTTACACAACCAGTCGGCAGGTTGCCGAACCATTGCTGTGCAATTCCCTTGAGAGTCGCTGGGAAACACTTGCACCAAGTGGGATCATCCAACCCTTGAAGGTACATCAGGTTGGTGAATGCCATCAGATGGTCTTCCGGGTTAGTAGTGCCATCATAGGCGCCTACTAAAACATTTTTTACTTTGGCCGGCTGAGCGGCTTCAGTAATTTCCTTGGAGAAGGCCGACGGCTGTTCACCAAGTCTAAGCAGCCGTAGCTGCCAGTCCATAGGTTGGACGTTTTTTGCTGCAGGTCCACCAAATGGAGGTGGCTGCATAAAATACTGTTGTTGCGGCACAAATGGTAAGTTTGGTACCGCCTGGGCACTATGAAAGTCGGACTGACGGGAGGTGCCGCCTGACTGACTCTCATGGTACGACTGAGTTGGCCTCATCGAGGCGTTTCGCAAACTGTCCTGAAAATTTGAAGTAGAAGCCGACTCTGATAATCGGTCACTCTTCTTCTGCTCTAGCAGGTGCCGAGCATCTGTGAACGTTTGCTTTGACCCGTCCGCCTGAATATGACGAACCGGTTTCCTATTTCCCGTAGGGTAACGGAATTTTGTGAAATCAAGAGCAGACGGTTCCCGCTTCTTGGATTTAGGATGGGGAGTCGCCTCTCGCCCTTGAACTGGCTTCCTCCTCAGTGAAGTGGAAGGTTTCTTGGCCGACTGCTCTTTGACTGAAGCAGGCGGTTTTTTGTTGATCAACTCTTGGATCTCTCCCTTGAAGTCCCTCATGAAGGTCATGAGTTCGTTCCTTGTGATGGGAGCAGACCCATCAGTCGGCTGTTGCCGAGCAAGCGGTGCGCCTGCTGGCTCGCTTCCTGTTTGAAGATACTCCCGTTCCCTTATTTCAGTATGACGGGTACGGCGGGCCCTTAGGGTCCCGTCTGGAGCTGTATGAGTTTCAACTTCAAATTCACTTTCGGTATCATGGTCCGACTGAACTTGAGGGTCGTCTAGGGGACGCCTCTCTTCTGGAGTCGGTACAGACTTGGATGCCATCTCTGAAGTACTCTCCCCACAGACGGCGCCAAATGTTTCGGGGTTTTCTGATGTCCTGCGGGAGAGTTACAATTCCGAGACTGGAACCGGACGTCTGTACCTGCAAAATAACGGAGACTCCTGAGAGCTCCGCCTCCAACGGTCAAGTTAGTACCTGATTAAGGAGTAATCAATACAGAAAGTAAAGTAATGAGATCTCTCTAGGTGAGAGTGCTTAGTGTTGGTAATCTGCGTCGTTAGCGAGATTAGCCGGTTGTTAATAAGTCTGTTCTTCTCTGCTTGATCTCTTAATTATTCGGTTGTTTTTTTGTTCCCTGATTAATGAGGATTAATCGAGTATTTATAGCCTTGGGAAGCGTGCAACTCTCTAGGCTTAAGGTAAACCTAGGGCTGATCGGGCCTCTAGACTGAAATGGGCCTTGATGGCCGGTTGTCCCACTTGGCATGGGTGGACACGTGGCGTGTCTTAAGTGGTCCGTGGAGGACGTATCTGTGACTGACACGTGGCAAGCTCCTGTTGGCCTTCGTGAAGGACACGTGGCGGAACCTGGTTGGTCCACTTGTCAGACGGTGATTGGTGGATAAAAATCCCCTAATCACTCGGTATCAAAGTAGTATATTGACTTGTGTAAAAAGTTTAATTGTGTCAGTTATTCGAAAATCACAAGATTTCATATATTGACTGGTCACACCTGTATGACCGTAGTTACTTATTCAAGAGTTACTCGGTTGGCCAGGAATCATTTGATCAGTCAAAGGTTATCCAATAAGTATTTTAATATGTATTAACCGACCATACGGTGTGACTAGTCACACTGAAAACGCGTTATATATTCTAAAATAGAGAAAGTACAAAATTGTGCTTGCTTGCCCGTTTAAACTTTCCCTACATGTGGTAATAAACAAACAATAATTGAATAATAAGATCGAAAGAAGACTTAATAATATAATCCACTTAAAAGTTAAAATCCGTCATTTTCTTTCACGCATCTATCATCAATTCATATTTCATACCATATCTAAATATGAGTTCAACTTACCGACTTACCGCCGTTTCGGACTCTTTTACTTTTAAATCAAAAATCATATATTAATTTTTTTATTTTTTATTTTTTAAATCGTAAATCCGCGTACTCAATTAGTATTTAAGGACCATTTACACCTTCATCCATTCTACCATCTTGACTCACTCAATATCAAAGAGAGAGAAAATAGAGTTAAAAAAAAAACAAGAAAAAAACCAAGAAAACAAGATCTAAGAAAAAATGCCAGCACTATATATAACAACAAATGTAAATTTGGAAGGTGTTGATGTTGAACCTATCTTCTCTGAAGCTAGTGCTGCTATTGCTTCCATTATCGGCCGCCCTCAACATGTAAGTACACCCTAATCCCTTCTCTGTACTACTAGCTATCGATCGATCATTCATTCATTTATTTGGGTCGGAGTTTGTTTTCTTACGGTGTATATGAATCACAAGGGCATTATAAATTACAAATGGGCGAGGGAGGTTGTTTGAATTTTTGTGATATTTTATTTTTATAGTTCCTCAATTCCTTGACTATCATCATAGGTGTCTATGTCATTAGTTCTTTTTTTTTTTTATTGTGTCTCATTAGTAATAGCTTAAATTTGCACGAGAATTCAGACATCTACTGTATTGCGGAGTATTAAATTTCACTTCTAACTAAATCCACTAAAAAATGGAAAGATTTATGCAACTATCATGGTATCATGGTATTCGTATACTTAGAACATACACAATGATTGTGCATAAGAACCTGATAACAATTTCTAAATAATTGCTAGCTATATGCTAGCCAACCTCTTGTAACTAAACCAAACTACACTCCACCCAACAAACATATATTGATTTGTTTAATATTTTTTTTTATGTATTTGTTTATTATTTTATTTTTTATATTATTTGTTTATTACAAGAGGATGTAGCTTATCATTGTAGTAGCTTAAGTTATGTAGCTTGAGGATTAATGATTTGACAATCCCAAACTACATCTACATATACATATAACTAGTCATTGTGGATGCTCTTAAAATCAATTACAAATATCTTTATAGAATACTCCTTCCCTCCCAAATCGAATAACTGACACGTTAATTATTCTAGAACAGAAAAAGTAATATTTACATGATAGAATGTGTACCAAGTAGTAGAGATTATTATTATGTCCTTAACTAATCCTTAGTTTGAATTCAAAAAAATTCCATTTTCTTCATTTGCACAAGGTAGACTTAATGCATTAGCGTAGGAAAATCGAACCTTATGCATGTATTTTAGAGTAAAAGTAAACTTAGGAGATAATTTTTGTTATATTGTCTCATTTTGTGCTGCGTGAATACATTCATCAACACAAAAACTTGATCATTAATACGTCTATAAAAGCACAAAACATATATATATATTGAAGATACTTCGGTATAAGCATGTTTAGAATAACAAAACAAGATTAACAACAACCAACCAAAAAAAAAAAAAAAAAAAAAAAAAAAACTGATTCAAATGAATGTCTGTTTACGGCATTTTCAATTAGAAGTTGACTAAGTAAGCGTTGGTTCAAATATTGCCGTGCTTTTTAAAATAGCTTGTGAGATAGGGAATAAACAAAAGCTATTGACTTAAATTTTAACTACCTTATCTTCAAAAAAGTTGGTGAGCTTTAAAAAATTAAAATTAATATTGAAAAACATCCAATGGTTGTGCATTATTTTGTGTTCATGCCTGTTTGCTTGCTTAGACGTGGAAAGTATATCTCTTCCTAAGCAATGGCAACACATTTATTAGTTCAATATAGAAAATTCTATCTTATATGGGGATTAAGATGTTATGTCAATGTTTTTATCCATTTTGTGGGAAATAGAAGTTTTTAGGAAATATCATCCAAACAATTACTACATAATACGGAGTAAAATGTATTTTTTTGGTAAGTTCAGACAAGTTCAAATAAGTTCAGATCAGTGAAAATCAGATGAATAGAACACACCCTTAATGTTTTAGGGCGTGTTTTATTCAACCGATTTTCACTTATTTGAACTTAATTATTTAAACTTAAATTAAATTTATTAAAATTTATTTTAGTTATAATTTGTACTTAGGTAACCCTTATCAAAAATTATTGTTCCTATTCCTAAATTGAACTTATCTTACCTTATTTTTCTTAGACTGAACTTATATGAACTTAACTTAACAGAACTTATTAAATCTAAAATAAATGAAAATAAGGTAAATAAAACAGATCCTTAATATAATATATCTTGATTTTTTACATTTCTGCATAACTTTGAGCATTAGAATTTAAAATAAGTTGGATTGTAGTGGCGCATCTTGTATGTTGGAGAGATGGAGGGAGTCAGATAGCTGAGTGATAAAGGTTGTGTACAAAAGGAATCGGATGGATAAGTAATTGGTCCCTATGTAGTTGGGCAAGTTCAACTTTAAAAGCATTGATTGGTGATAGAACGATAGAGGTTGTGTATAGTGATTTATTTATGGAGGTCCTTGTACCATATAATCATATATAGGCTAAAACTACATATTATGGATAGGCAGAGAGTGAGAGATAGCTCAAATGGTTAGAGTTTTCCTTCAAGTTTTAGGAGATCTTGAGACCGATTGACACCCCCGTCCTTTGTGGTCCCTAAACACCAAAAAAACATATTGGCTAGGCAAGTTCATTTGTTTGGGCAAGTTGTTCAACTTTAAAACACTGAATTGTCATGTACTCACGTCCATTTGGGGGTGCATAGGAAGTAAATGCTCAAAATGGATTGTTTACCTTCCATATGTTATTAATTTTAATATAAATTTAAATGAGACGGATAAATTAAGACGAAATGATGAATTTTAGGGACTTAATAATTTGTTATATGTAGTCGTATAGTGTAATTAATTTGAGCAATGATTATAGGTGTGTTCGAAAAAAATATAGTGTAGATCGAGGTGGCTATTAGCTATGGTATATTGTCACATTGCCGATTCCATGTATGGGATTAAAGTTTTGATTGATTGATTGCCTGATTAATTAATTGATATTTTGTCACATTGGTATATATGTTACTCCGTACCAAAGGCAACAAAGTAAATAGACCCAAACGCATCTATATAAAGTGCTTGTGGGTCTATGCGTCATAGCTAGTTACTAACGTTAGTGGTTCACTGTATAACTGTATTTGCGTCGTGTAAGTGGTGTTACTCCAACATATGTCCAAAATGGAAAATCAAAGTGTCGTCTCCACTACTGTAATAAACATAGTACACAAGTGACTTGTATTACTAAAATCAAAAATCATAGACTATGCTGTATAAATTGGAGTGTGATTTTAGTCATATGGAGGGACTTTTTACTAAATTGAGCTTTTTTGGCAAAGTATTTACCAAATTGGTCTCGTGGCAAAAGTATTTCTTAAACTAAGCTTTTAGGGTAAAACGTTGTCTCGGCAGCATTTTACATCCAGTTTTTTTAAAAAAAAAATTCAAAACATAAAACTCTGTCTCAGACAACGTTTTATGGTTAATTGACTTTTTTGTATGTATTTTGCTAAAATATATTGGTATACACGTATTTTGTGTATGTAAAAAGTAAAACGTTGCCTAAGGCAGCGTTTTACTTAAAGAATTAAACGGAAAAAGTATTATCTCAATAGGAAAACGCTGCCTCAGGCTGCGTTTTATTCTGTACAATAAACGCTGCCTCAGGCAGCGTTTATTGAGGGCTTTTTTTATATAAAATATGAAATACGAAGTTTGAGAAAAAAGTCAAACGGGTAAAACGCTGTATGAGGCAGCGTTTCACTTCTTGGATTTTTTTTTTAAATCTGGGTATAAAACGCTGTCTGAGACAGCGTTTTATCCCACAAGCTTAGTTTGGGAAATACTTTTGCCACGAGACCAATTTGGTAAATAATTTGCCAACAAAGCTCAATTTGGTAAAAAGTCCCATATGGAGGACCCTAATTTGGCATAATTAACACCACTTTACTTGGCTAGTTTTCAGAGAGAGAAGAACGAACAACAAGTTTGTCACTTTGTTGTCAATAGGGCTAGTGCAATGTTTGATACTCCCCAAATGTGGATAGTGATAAAAACAAGTACTCATTCCATTGCATAATAATCGCAATGATATAGAATGCATATAGTATAAGAAAAAATATATAGATTTGTAGGCTTTAATAAAATAATATAGAGAAATAATAAAATAGTACTCCGTAGTGTAGTAGATAGAGTTAGTAGGAGAGATAAATAATAAAATATTTGTAAAGTGATAATTAATAAAAATAATAATAAGTTCTTACCAAATAAGAAAGTGTAGTAATTATTATAAAATGGACATAAAAAGAAAGTGTTGCGATTATTACAAAATACAGGTAGTAAAAAGGAAGAGAATTAATATAATTTCTTGGTATTTTGATTTAAATTTTTCGCCTTAAAGTTAAATCCAAGGTTAGGAGCAATTCAATTTTGATTTAAATTGTTATCGTAATTGATTGATAATGTTATCCGAATCCTTCTCAAGTTGACATCACATGATTTAAATTTGAGAGAAATAATGAAACTCGAATATGAATCTAATTATTATCCCAATCCAATTAGAAATGAATTGTATTATGAATTTAATAGATTTAGTCTGAATCAGACTCATCTAGTTAGTGTTTCTTTAACAAAGAAAGATCAATTTACTTTAGCCCTTTATACATTTTCAATAGTTGTTTTCAATGTCTCCTACATGCTATGTTTCCTTTAATCAATAGTCCGAATCATATGCATATATCTTATAACAACAACCACTCAATAGGGACTAAGACATTTTTGGTCAACTTTAATTGAATTATTAGTCCCAAAAATGAAAATAATTAGCATTATTCCATAATTATTGTTAGTTCCTTTTTTTTTTTTAATTACCCTTAGAAGTAGTTGCAAGCTGAGCTAACTGAAAATGATTGTACAATTAATTATAATCACTTATTATAATAAGGGCTATGTATAACATTAAAAACATTCCTGGAAATTATATAAAATTAGAAATTCACGAGTAAATCAGTGTAATTAGTGTATTTTTGACGCGATTTTCTAAATTTATACAATATTGAAGAGTGTTTATTATGCTTATATGTAACTCTAAGGGATATGTACAACATTTTCCTAATTTTATTTATGTATTATATATTTATAATATGATTGCATTTATTATTTCAGTTGGTGATGGTGGTAGTGAAAGGATCAGTACCAATATCATTTACAGGAACAAAAGATCCAGCAGCATTTGCACAATTAATATCAATGGGTGGTATTAATAAAGTTGTCAAGAAAAATTTAATAACAAGTCTTGGTGCTATTCTTCAGAATCATTTAACTATTCCTCCTGCTAGATTTTTCTGCCATGTTATTGATACTACTGCTGGTCGCCCACAATCTAAGCTTTAATTTCTTGTAATCTTGATTAAATTATTTTAATTTAATTTGGTTTTCCCTTGTGTAAACCCAATTAAAATTGATGTATCAATTGGAATAAATTTTTGTGGCAAATGGTTATATTGAATATTTTTGAAAATAAATTATTATTATGATGGTTCTAGTTAGGATTAATTTGAAGATTTTCTACTAGATAAATACAAGTTAATATCTGAGATTCACAAAATTTGTTTATCACATGGTAATTTTGTAAATAAATCAACCACTTTTTCCATAAAAGTGGGTCCTACAGTGACGATGACTGGATAAAGTTGTTAATTTATTTACCAAAATGTCATGTGATAAACAAATTTTGTTCATCCTAGAGATTAATTGGGGCTTCCTCTTTTCTACTCCGATCCCTACATTCTTTATTGATTGGTTGACTCAAGATTTTGTTCATGCAAATGGAAATTAATATTTTAAGGATAAATATATAAACTTGGCCACGTTTGATTTGTTTCGATTGTTGCTTTCTAAATACTTAATTATTTACCACCTTCAATCTAAATTCCTCGCAACTTTGAAATATTTTATATCTCACAAATAATACCCCGAAGGTGCGAGTAATTTGGACCGGAGGTAGTATATAGTTTTTGAAATACATAATTTGAGATATTTTAGTTACAATGTTGTTTTAAAAACTGTGTAAAAAGCAAATAAAACATTGAATTAGAAACGAGAGTTAATGTAATTCTTAATCCTTTGAATTGCTTATATGATTACTAGAAATCTACAAATATGAGTTTTTGCCCTTTTATAGTAATGCATATGTGTATATAGTTTTTTATATTTTTTTTTTAAAGCATATGAGTATATAGTTGATATACTAGCTAGTATGATGATATCCCAGCCCAACCGAAACATATAAAAGTTGGGGATTTGTTAAACATCGCCCGCAAATCTCCACATAAAGCCCACAAAATTCACTTGATTTGACAATATTGCCCTTGACCTAAAAAAAAACACTCACACTCTCATCACTCACACTCTCATCGCTCATCTTCTTTCAACATCTCAAAAAAAAAAAAAAATATTCAAACAACGGCAATGTCGAGGCGGTAAGGCAAGGAATTGGCGGCGGCGGCGGAGGGAAGGAGGTCTCAAGGAGGCAAGGTACAATTTGTTAAAAAAAAAGGGAAAACCGCCGTGACGGAGGAGGGGCGCCTTGGCCGGACGCCCAGCCAGCGGTGGTGGCGCCAACTGCAGACGCCGCAACCAGTAGGCTGGCGCCTGGGCTGGACGCCATAGCCACGGTTGTGGCGTTTATTCAAAGCGCCGCAGTCGTGGCTATGGCGTCCAGCCCAGGCGCCAGCCCACTGGTTCCGGCGTCTGCAGCTGGCGCCACCACCGCTGGCTGGGCGTCCAGCCAAGGCGCCCCCCCCCCCTTTTTTTTATATATATTTGTATTAAAATGTTGTTTTTTTTTTGTTTAATATCTTTTTCAATTGTTTTTATATTTTGTTGTTTATTTTTATAAATTTTATCAATTTTGTTGTATTTTTTCTATGTTTATATTTTGTTTACAATTATTTGTTTGTTTTATTTGTACATTTTAAAAATACAACTATTTTTTCTATGTTTATATTTTTTCTATGTTTATATTTTGTTTACAATTATTTGTTTGTTTTATTTGTACATTTTTATTTTTATTCTCAATTTCAATTTGTTAGTACATTTTTTTGTTCATTTGATATTGTTTTTGGTTAGTTAATTTATTTTAATTTTTATTATTGATATTGTTTTTGGTTAGTTAATTTATTTTAATTGGGAATGAATTATTTATGTTTATATATATTCTTATGTGTTGGTTTTATTTCCTTTCTTGTATTTTTTATTCTATTATTTTTATTTAAGTGTTTTGTTAATTTCTTTATTATGTTAATTTGTTAGTATGTTTTTAGTTTATTTGATTTGGGTAGTGGTAGCTATTTTTCGTATAATTTTTTGTATGTTTATATATTTTTAAATTTTTTGTAGAATTCACTGCGTCGTCATGGTGCGGGGAAGAATGTAGAGCTTCTTAGTAGAAGTTATTCAGTGGAGAGGTCGGGGCATAGACATGTTAGATCCCGTGGTATTTCGGCCTCGGCTCGTAGAGAACGGATCCACCGTCGGGATGAGGATGACGATGATGATGCTGAAGAGGGTGACCAAGAGGAGGAGCAGGAGGAGGGCGCGGATGAGGATGAGTATGTGGACGATGGCAGTGGACCGTATGATGATTACGATCCATTCAGTCAGAGGGTTGATGACATGTACGAGACACATATGGTGGAGGTGCGTAAGGGTAGGGGTGGTAGGTTTGTTAGTAGATCTGGCACATCATCTGCGTCCACTGTATATGGGGCAAGCAGGAAACGGTCGAGGGTCGTTAATGATTCTTGGGTTGTTAGGAGTGAGGTGCCCGGTGGGCCTGTTGACGGGAGTGTGATTCCTAGCTTTCTAGGACACATAGCTGCCCGTATTTGGGAGGACCAGGAGAGGCCTTCAGTTACGGGGTTGTTGAAATGTCATACCCGGGAAAAGACTTGTAGCTTTTTGCGTACATGGGCTGAGGCTTGGCCGGCGGAGAGCGAGATGTTCGAGCGACTGGAGGGCACTGGGGTGAATCACGTTCCTGCCACCATGCACGATAAGATTGACATTACGCTGATCACGACTTTCATTGAGCGATGGCAGCCGGATACAAACTCTTTCCACCTTCCGTTCGGTGAGATGACGATCATGTTACATGACGTCGAGGCCATTCTGGGGATTTGTGTTGAGGGTAAACGACTTTGTGCTGTGGCTGATGCGGATCAGGCAGATTTGCTGGCGGAGTTGTTGGCGGTGGACAGGGCTGCACTGTACACCGAGGCGCTTGGTGTTTGGGAACACGGCGGTGTGAAGATCGCATCCGTGTTGCAGCGGTGTTTGTACCCCAGTGCACGTAGGACGCACGACGCACAGCTGAGTGCTTATGTTTTTCTACTCCTCGGATGTACCTTGTTTCCGGATAAGAGCGGCGGAAACAAGCTCAGGCCACGCGACATAGTAGAGGCGTGTGACCCCGACAGTGTAGGCCAGTTTTCCTGGGGATCGGCTACGTTGGCGTATTTGTATCGCCAACTAGGATTTGCGAGTCGGGCTGACGCGGCAGGTATCACTGGGTGTCTGACTCTATTGCAGACCTGGATATACGAGTACTTTCCTGCATTGCGACCACATCGTGACCCGGTTCCTATTGATGAGGGGATGTCGCGTGCTTGTGCGTGGAGTCCGCGCTCGGAGAAGAAGTCCGTTGACCGCCTCCGATCGATACGGTTATTGCTGGACAGGCTGTCCCCCTTAGAGGTAACGTTTATAAATTGTTTTTACATTTTATTATTTGCACATATTATATTCATGTTATTAAATTTTAAAACTATGTGCAGGTGAACTGGATACCTTTCGGCCCGAACCCTAGTGTTAGGGTACCCAGGACCCTGTACACGGGACTCATTCAGTATCATGAGATCGTCGAGGCGTACATGCCCCAGCGTTGTCTTCGCCAACTTGGATTTGTCCAAGTTGTCCCTCCTCCCTCGGCATGCCTGATGAAGGCGGTCCGACCTGCATCGTTGAGGGACTACGTCGTGCAATGGCCGGATATCATGACCGGGACGTGGGACCAGTTTCCGATGGTGGCCCGCTTATGGACTGCGGAGTTGCAGCGGCCGCCATCTGGGGTTCCTCCCATGTGTGACCATTACTACATGGAATGGTTCAACCGGTATTTGCACCCGAGGTTGATCGCAGATCTCGACCACAACGATGATGATTATGTGCCACCGCCTACTGCCATGGAAGCGGTATGTCTCATATTATATTTATCGTTGTCTTTTAATTAAGTTTTATATGTTGTTATTGTATTTCATATTTTATTTTTTGTTGTATGCAGTGGATGGGAAAGATAATGCAGGACGTACAGAAACTCTCTCTTGAGAAGGACAGCATGAGTGCAACAGTGAGAGCTGTTGTTGATAGTCTGGAACAGACCCTTGCGCAGTGGGAGTCGTCGTCGAGGAGGGATTACTGATGGTTTTGTCATTTTATTTATAGAGCACTTTAAATATTATCGTTTTAATTTATTAAATTGGACATTATGTTGTAAGTTTGTAACATTTTAGATTGTTCTTTTAGCTTCCAACTTAAACATATTATCATTGCTGTTTTTAAATTTTGATATAACCGTTCGTGGATCCGCGCAACTTACCCATGCAATATATAGAATGCAGTAAGCAATACAATATAAAAGATTAATGTTCTCATTAAAAGAGCAACGTACAAATAAGATTACATAGGAAGAATGTAAACATGAAAAACTAAAATGCAGCTAGGGTGTTCCATTCGTGGACCCGGTCATGATATAGCGCATCCCAACCCTCTACGCTCGCTATGCGAATGGTGTACCACCGAGGTATAATCGGTGGCACTGGAAAATCGGATGACATGTCTAGTCGGATGAAATGTTTGTATGACGACCCAAGAAACGCAATAGCTACCTCTCTGACCGGTGTGGTGACAGTCTCACGCGACCGCCAAGGGAGAACCGTGGTACAAGGATAATAAGATTGACTATGCACTCCCAGGCCGAAATGCATGACTGCGCATTTGTAAATGTTTGCAACGGCAAACAGATCTAGGGGCGCGTCAAAATAATGATTTTGGCCGCAAGGTCCACCTCCCCACCGGATACGCCGCAGAGCGCCATCCAAGTCATCCTGGTACACATGACGATAAACATTTCGGTTAGAGGCAATTTCGCTGTACATCAACTGACGCACCAAACCGTAGTTGTCTTCGCCCATTTGAAAAACATCAGCCACGACCCGGAATCCGCAGTTACCATCTCCGACTACATCATTCCACCCTTCCAAGTACGGCATGATGATCGCAGGTATCCTTTCCTTGTACGGAAACTGATCAACATCGTTTCTTCCTATTCACCATATAATTATAGACAGTTAAGAAGGCAGGAGTAACACTTTAAAACTATGTGCAATGTAAACAACCAAAACGTACCAGTTCTCAGGGGCATATTCACAGACGATGAAGATTGACTACGACTAGATGACGATGTCCGACCACGAGCACGACCACGACCAAGACCACAGATATACTCAAACGCACTCCTGTTCCGCCGTTGTCGACCTCGAGGACGGTCAACTCCTTCGGGTTCCTCATAATCTAAGGTAGACGTGTGGAACATGTTATGAAGTACATGAGTAGCTTCACGAATAATAGAAGGATGGCTGGAGGACACTCGGTCGTACATCGAACGAAACTGCTCCAACTCCTCCTGTTCACGGTCGGCCGTTTGAGTGTCTGCATGCTCACCAATAACGAGCGTCCTCCAGAATGAATGAACCTGATCAACATGTAACGACGCCCTTTCTTCTGTAATAACGCGGTGAATGGTGCATGAGCAAGGTAATCCATGAGTTACTGAAATAGCACACCCACACTGAGCATACACTTCGTCAGCCAAGTCCCTCATCCTGTTCAGCTCAGTGAGAATCAACCCCAAGCAGTAGTGCGACACACGACCATGGAGAATCTTAAATATAAAATGGCTATACATCGTACCATGTCGTCGTCTGGAGTCCTCTAGAGAGTTCCTGATGCCGTTCTTCTGAGTTTCAATTGACTTGTTAAGTCTATCGAACAGTGTATCCAAAGCAGCGGTCGATGAATCAATCCAGTCCTTGGTAGCTCTATGAGCGCTCTCAACTCTACATGTTGTAGTGTTCCCGAAATGAAGTACCTGGTTTGTCCAATATTTGACAACTTTTCCCTGTGAGGGACCCATTGCTGCATCACATAGTCCACCAGTGCCGGACACCACTGGTACGAATCCCTGAAGTTAGCCAATGCTCGCTCATACGCTTCCTCTGTGGTAGCCTGTAGGATCTTCCGCCACTTACCATTCACCAATCTCTCTTCCATTTCCAAATTCTTGTTGAAAAGGTTGTAGGCTTTCACTTTCACGCAGTTGTTGATGTGCCATGTGCACAATAAGTGGTTCGATTCTGGAAACAGCTCTGCTATGGGGGCAAAGAGACCTCCCTCACAGTCGCTGACGATGGTTGCTGGATGAACATTAGGCCCAATAATAACTTGGAGCCGTCTCATCCTTGATGATTGCATGACCAATCAGAAAGTTCTGGTTCGTTGGAGTCATCCCCATGATCTCAACCAGTGGGAACTTGTACTTGTTTGTCTTGTACGTTGAGTCGATCAAAATCACAAATGGCCAAGACTTGATCATATCAGCACAATCAGGATTAGGGGTGTCAACGGGGCGGGGCGGATTTTGGCATTCCCATCCCCATCCCCGCCTCACATTTTCATCCCCATCCCCATCCCCATGTCGGGTCTGAAAATAATCCCCGTCCCCGCCCCGGCGGGTCCAACTCTAAAACCACCCCCGCCCCATCCCCGTCCCCGCCCCATACCCGCCAAACCCCCACCCCATACCCGCCAAACCCCCGCCCCATCCCCGCCAATTCCCCGCCCCATACCCGCCAACTTAGTATTGAGAAAAGCAACTGTCTTTCAAGTTTCAAGTGTCAACTGAAACCCTGCAGACTTCATAGTAGACTAATGAAAAAGTAGCAGTGCATACAAATCCCATTAACTCAAATCCAACAAAAACCACTGCAAGATCAACCATTTTCATAAAGTGCAACACCTTAGGCATACATACTACATTACTACATATTAAAAAACTTAAAATTAGTAGTACATAAGAGAAAAAAAAAAACACTAACTCCAAATTGTCCAAAGTCCAAATATTAAAAATAACTACAAGTCTACAAATATTCAAATACATAACAAGAAATTCATTAGGCCTTGAATTATTCGGTGCAAAGTCCACTTGTTCAAGAATCGATATCACATGTTTCAAATCCTTCCTCTAATTCTCCCACTAATTTAGCATATTCATCATCCTTAAATTCTCCACAATCTGCAAATACAACGTGAATTAATTAAAATAAATAAATAAATAATATTATTAATTAAATAAAATTTTATTTTAGCTATTTACTTTTAGAAGCAGCCCATATCCAATTTTGAGTACACATCAAAGCTTCTACAACTTCCGGTAAAAGCCGACTACGATAAGGATTAAGAACCCGACCACTTGTGCTAAATGCGGACTCTGATGCAACAGTAGAAACAGGAATGCTCAATATATCTCGTGCTATTTGCTGAAGAATGGGATATGTGCCTCCATTTGTCTTCCACCAGTTAAGAATATCAAAATCTTGGACTAGAGGCACATTAGCAGCATCTAAATACTTATCCAAATCTGATATATCATGACTTGAGTCCTTATCTTGTTGTAAAAATTCAGCAAATTCTTGCATAAAGGTCTCTTCATTGGATTTGCTACTACTACCCAAATCAAAAGCTTGTTGGTTGCTACTACCTTGAGTTTTACCCATCTTAGACCCATATTCATCAACCAATCTTCGTAGAAGATCACTAATTCTACTAACCTCAATTTCAAAGTCATGCCCATCAAAAATTTTTGCAAAATAAAAGCGAATAAGAGCCATTTTGTATCTAGGATCTAGTATTGTTGCCACTCCCATTAAGCCATTCACACTAGCCCAATACTTGTTATATTTTTTGTAACATAATGTCGGCCATTTTCCTTACATAATCATGAGGAGATAAAAGCCAACCAGAAATAGCAATTCTCAAAGCACAAATTTTAGGAAAATAAAGATTGGCCGTAGGGTAATTTGTTCCTGAAAAATTAAGGGTAGTTTTACTAAACACTTCCAAATGTTCACATATTTTCTCAACTTTTTCCCAATCTTCAGGGGTCGGTGGATTCTTATATAAATTATTACGAGCACTTAAAACAACAAACACTTCTTTATAACTAGTAGCAATAGAAAGCATTTCATAAGTAGAATTCCACCGGGTTTTGCAATCAAGTGCTAACTTTCTACTACACTCAGGAGTTATTTGCTTAGCCACTTGTTCAAACCTTTGTACTCTCTTATCAGAAGCAGTCCAAAACACAACACTATCCCTAATTCTTTGAACACCATTTGATACCACAGCACTTAAACCATCTTGAACAATCAAATTTAATATGTGAGCACAACAACGCATATGAAAAAAATCACCTCGCAATAAAAGTGAGCCATATGGAAACACTCCTTTCAAAATTTCCATCATTGCATCATTAGTTGAACAATTATCCACGGTTATAGAAGACAACCTAAGATCAAGATTCCATGATTGAATGCTTTCTTTCAAAGCATCAGCAAGAACCTCAGCAGTATGAGGGGCGGGGACATATAAAAACCTACCAAAACCAATGAAAATAACATATATTATTTGTCTATTCAATACTATTGTGGATATATGGGCTCATTATTATCATCCATCATCACAACTAATAATTCTTATGATTTTAAAATTCACACAAAAAACTATAGCAATACAAAGACAACCAAAAAAAATAAACAAGTTATAAGTAACCAGAAAACAATACCTTATGATCCGACTTTGCAACTTCCATGTATTATCAATAAAATGTGAGGTGACCGCCATATAACCTTTTCTCTGGTTGTCAGCTGTCCACATGTCAGTAGTTAAGGCAATCTTACCCTTTGCTTTCCTCAACAAGGTTGCAACATTCTCCTTCTCAAGCTCATATCTTTTCATAATATTTTTTCTAGTTGTGTTGCGAGACGACACTTTAAATCCAGGTTGGAGTGTCTTGCTATATTTTCTAAAACCAATATGCTCAACCATGCTAATTGGATACTCATGCAAAATAATCATCTCTGCCAAGTCTCTTCTTCCATCTTCTTGGTGGAATTCGTAAGGAGCCAATGTCATCGTGTCATTCTTATCATTCAAGTTTTTTTTTGTACCAAACATTCTTGTTTGTCGAAGATCTTGACATACTCTCTTTGGACATATTTTTATATGATCTTTCAAATGAGTAGTTCCTGCTTTTGACCCACCAGCAAGTAGCTTGGAGCAATGGTTGCACTCAGCTTTTATCACATCCCCAACTCTCTTTCTCTTAAAATCAGACCACACTGCCGAAGTATGCCTACTAGTAATTGGTAGGAGAGAAGGATCGGAATTAGTCTCTAGAGGACTTTCATCATCATCTATTGCAATTGGAGTATTACTAGCGGAAGTGGGAACACTAGCGTTATTCTCATTTTTAGATGTCATTCTCCCCTGTAAAAATTAAATAAAGACAATTAATGCACTAGACATATTGACTACAGTATTGAACACATTTGACATCTCAGAAACAGCAATAATAAATTAATAATAGCAAATTAGCAATGCACAGCAGCAAAGGCAGATCATGCTTCTAGCACAGCTATCGGAAGATATCATGTTGAAAGGCCTATCAATGCATAATGTCATACTGTAACTGCTATGTTAATATATTGTTGCTGCTGCATAACCAGTTAACCACCTATCACACTAAGTCACTAACCACTACATACAGGCTACAACACAAATTTATAGCCACTGAGCCACATAGATACAAACACAAACGCTCACACACACCATGCATCATTCATAGGCTAATAGCCAGTCATTTTCAATTCAAATTTAGTAAAAAATCAGTATATATATTTTGAACTACAATACAATCAAAATTCATCCCCACTTAATTATATACAAAGTGTGTTAAGTTAGTGTGTACTACAGAGATTGATCTTAGTAAATGAATTAAATAAAAAAAAAAGTAACTAAATCTATAATGATCGAATAAGTGGTCAAATGACATAATCCGAATTTAGTTATCACACATAAGCTAAAATAATAAACATAAACTTATAAGTCTGAAATTAATGAGAAAAACTAATTACAATCTATACATATTTCGACTTTATTATATCTATTTTGTGAAATTAAATATAAAAAAACAAGTAATGAAAATTCTAGATTAAAACCCTAATAAACTAAAAAATTTGGAGGTCATCATATTCATACATTATCATACAAAAAATAACAGTAATCAACTACATTGCATTAGATTGAAAGTATCATACAAATATAACACGAAACCCTAGCTCAATCAAATGAAATATTGAAAACCGCAATCGAACAAATCATAAATAAAAGACGAATCACATACTTTCAATCGAAAACCCAATTAAGAAATTCTTAATTGAACATATTGAATTAAGAAAATTCAAAGATAATAATGCGAAAACGTTTACCTAAATTGAATGAGTTGCAGCCTTGCAAGATCGAGGTTGAAGAAGAAGGATCGAAGAGATTTGATTGCAGACGAGGACCACGAGGTTGAAGAAGAAGGATCGAAGAGAGGGGTTTGAGGCTTGAGGAAGAGATTCAGCGCTTGAGACAGTGAGGCAGTGAGACTGTGAGAGGAGAGAGTAAGGCAGTGAGGCTAGGGTTTTTGTTTTGAGAATGAGTGAATGACTGAATGAGGGTGGGTATTGGGTAAGTGGGTTACTGGGTTAGATTTCATTAGGTGTAGTATTTTTTTTTTTTTAATCGTATTATGCTATGGCTAGTCGGGTCTTATGCGGGTATGGGGTGGGTATAAAGCGGGTATGGGTCGGGTATGGAGTGGGTCAGGCGGGGCGGGGCGGGTACGGGGTGGGTCAGGCGGGGCGGGGCGGGGCGGGTATTACATAACAACCATCCCCGCCCCATCACCCATGGCGGGTATGGATTTTAGACCCATCCCCGCCCCGCGACCCGCCAAAGCTAGACCCATCCCCGCCCCATCGGGGCGGGGATGGGGCGGGTCTCCTACTAGACCCGCCCCAGTGACATCCCTAATCAGGATGCACAAGGAAAAGATGAGTCACCTCCGCTGTATCTTCATCAGAATCAAACCAGAACAGGTAACCACGTGATTGTGCCTGGTGTAGCAGCTGCTGTATAGGGTTCCTTCCCTCTGACCGTTCAAACCTGAGTTGCTGTCTGACGTTGTAGATGTGTCTTCGGTTTGGATGGTCTTCTGGAAATTTCTCTAACACAGATGCTAATATTTTAGCAGGCTTGACTTCAGCATCACTCATTTCTTTCACAACTAGTTTCGCAGCAGGACTTAAGCCGCTCAGCTGTCGATGGCCCTCTTCATATACTATCATCTCATGGTTGTGATACCCCCATTTAGAGTAACCAATCACTTCCCAACCGTCACGACTCTGTAGTTATCGAACCTTTACTCTGAACTCACACCCACAACCTTTCCGCTTTGTATCAAACCGAGTGGTTGTATGAAAATCTCTTTCTTCTCTTTTGCGATAACGGTCACATCTCAAAATGCGATCCATTCTACCATCCCGTTGAGATTTATGAGTTACTACTACCAAGCAAAATCCAGCTGCAATTGCAACCTGTTTTTCCCAATCAATCGCCTGTTGAGCTTTTTCGAATGGACCATCATGTCCAAATATCCCACTGTAATCATTTCCGTCTCCACCATAATCTTGCATCAATTATATATTATAATAAATACATTTAACGGATAATACATTTAATTTCTATATTTACACAGAATTAACACAAAAAAAAGCATAATTATGTATAATCAAACTTAATTTTTATAAAAACCCAATTCGAATTTTCAAACTAAATTTAAAAATATACCATTTCGAATTTTCAAACTTAATTTTAAAAAAACCTATTTCGAATTTTCAAAATTAATTTTAAAAAAACCCATTTTGAATTTTTTTAAAAAATCATTTTCGATTTTTTTTTTTAAAAAATAAATAAAAAAATAAAAAACAACAACAAAATCAAAAAAGAAAAAAAAAATTAATATATAAAGGTGGCGTCTGCCAGGGCTGCCACAACCACTAGACTGGCGCCTGGCAGGGCCGCCTCAGCCAGTAGAGTGGCGCCTGGCCAGGACGCCAGTCCGGTGGTCTGGGCGTCTGGGCTGGACGCCACTGTGGTGGTTCTGGCGTCTGCCTTGGACGTCCAGGCTACGGTTTGGGCGTCCATCCTAGGCGCCGGAGCCACTCCGACGGTAAACCGTGAATTTTAACGGTGACTTACCTCGTTTTCCGTCGACGACGACGTACCTCCGGCGTCCCCCGCATCTTCGGCCTGCCCTCCGGTCTCCCCCGGCGAGCCAGTACGGCTCCACATTTTTTACACCGAGATTATTTCAATTTTAGAAAATGGGCATAATGGTCACACCAAGTCATATTTGTGGGCTTTATATGGTAATTTGCGGGCGATGTTTAGCGATTCACAAAAGTTGACTATATATTGATATGGATCAGTGACGGATTCAGGATTTCCGAGATGGTAGGTCACCATCCAATTTTGTGGGTTCAAAATCGAAAAAAAAAAGAATGATAATGTATCAATTAAAGATTCAATACATAAGTTCAAATTTTGGATTACAAATGAATCGCACTTTGAAAAAAAAAAAAAAAAAAAAAAAAAAACCTACAAAAGCATTCTTCAAGTTTTCATACCTTGAAAGCGTGTTAATATGTAATTATCACTAACTCTAACAAATGATTCTCTCTCAAGAAATGGCAATCAAGACATCAAATCAATTTTACATCAATCATCAATTAAAAACCCAAACAGCCAAATATCCAACACCACAAATTCACAATCAATAATATTGAATCAATTTTTCAGTTATAAATTTCCAATTAGCAAAACAACAATTATCAATTAATAAAATTAACTAAATTGAAGTATTAAAGTAGATAAAAACTCTAGCGTAGTCGTCGACTATGGACGACTATGCTAAGAGATTAAATCTAGACCGTTCGATATTTATTTATCTAATCCTAGCCATCCAATTTAACACCTATGCTACACAGTCATTAAAAACTTGTTTGTTTACTAGATAATTCTTTTTACCCAAATTAAATTGTTTTTTACTAAAAAAAAAAAAAGTAAATTTAATATATTATCTTCAACCTTAAATCATCATTGACATTAAAATAGAACTTGATCTTGATTTTCAACTTATGTCGTCGTCTTCATCCTTAAACATTCCATCGTCAACCAAAAATTTATCATCCTCAAATTAAACATCCCATCTTCAACCAAAAATGCAGTATATAAACCTTATTTAAATTAAATGTATAAATTTTAACTTCCTCTTTAACTTATATCGATCATCTTCATCCTAAAACCCTCATGTTCAACCTCATAATTACGATTTTGTGTTAACTTATGATCAGGCGTATGATTGAAAGATTAATAAGCCATCATTGAATGTTTAGAATTTATTTTCTGGTTATATTATCTTATAATTTTGAAAGTAGTCATATGCTTTTTTGTTTAACTTTGATTATTAGTCATATGAATTTGTGAATGATCATCCACCATTGTTGAATGTTGAAGCTATGGACATTATTTTAGGTTGAAGACGGTGAAAAATAAATAAATAAAAACTAACTAAAAACTTTTAATTATGTTAATGAATAGCTATAAAATCAGAATATAAAGGGATATTATTATTAAATAATATCATTGACTAATTGATATTACTTCACCATCATTTACCTTGATTTATTCTCTTAAATATGCATATATATATATATATAGACTCCATATCTTTATGATTTATTTTTAAATAAAATAATTCAATAATTTTTTTCCCATTAAGCATATCTGTATGTCCTTCTTAATCGTTCTTCTCCACAAATTTAATTAAGAGAATGTCAATTTCTGATATT